ATTATCTGATTTTATGGTGACATGAAGTCACTGGGCAGCCAGTGCCCTGATATTTCCCCTGGTGAAATAACTAAAAACAGGCTACTTGATGAATATGATCTAGTCTGTTTTATGGTGACTAGAAGAGAAGAGGGTCAGAGAGAGAGAGAGGAAAATTTCAACAAGATGCATGGAATCACGCTGCTGCCATGCTAAAAGCTAACATAAAAGCTTTGGTGCCCTACATACATAGTGTAAGTGCAGATTTGCAGAATTGTGCTAAAACTACACTAAATGTTAGCTTATTTTAGCTACAATGCACTAAGCCATGCTACCACTACGGTTAGTGTAACTGGCCAACTGTTGATTGTCTCAGTAGCTTTGTTGGATGCCCATCTGATTTCAGGCCACAGGCATAAAAACTACAACATATTTTTTGGCCATTTCAGACTGTTTTCCAAAAAAAGTCAAAAAATACACAAAGTTACAGCATGTACTTTTTTGTATTGGGCTGTATTTGTGACCAGATACAAGTATTTTGGCAATTTTACTGTTTTTCAATACAATGCAGATGCCATGTATGTGGAGAAAAGCAGATACAGACACATGTATTTTATTTGGTTTGCCATTGCTGGTGTGCCCATTCCCACTGGCATCTTTGGTAGCTTCATTCACCCAATGGGAAAAGAAAAAAAGCCAACAAAAAAACTCAGCCAACAAAAAATAAATCAGCCCAAGAAAAAGAAATCAGCCAAAAAATAAAAAACAGCCAACAAAATTGAAATAAAAGCCAACAAAACCTGACATATGGAAAGTTACATGTGTGCCAATATCTTGTGCACCAAGAAAGTCTGGTTTTGTGGGCCAATTGCAAGTTGTGATGGTCAAAGAGTGCCTCACAGGTACATTGAATATGTGAGGTTCTGGGTTCAATTCTCACACCAGACATCCTTTGACCTGGCTTACTGGTGAAATGATAATCACTGATTGGTTTATTATCATATTGGGAAAATTAGCTTGCACTTAATGAACATAACCATCAAAAATCAGTGTATCCCCAGCAATAAAGTCACCCACAAATTATCCAAATATTGGAAATTCTGCAACATATCCCTGTTTGGTTCAGAATTTCTGGGAACGTAACTATCAAAAAAGTGGCCTTTTGCTCCAGTAGAAGTTGTAACTAAAATGGAGATATATGTAAGGTGTGTTTAATGTAATTGTAAAGGTTATGTTACAGTCAATGTTATTCATTTGGGTGACATATCTGCATAAAATACCACAAGCACAAGAAATCAATCAAGATATTTATAGGTTTACAAATAAAACATGTAGATGGAATATTGGACATCAACAATCTTCATTCCTACCTTTGAAAACTCCAAGAACCTATTCTTGAAGTCATTTATATGCTGGCAACTCCCAAGAAATAAAAAATGACTTTTTGCAAGTGATCATTCAGGTCTGACTCCCAGAAACTGTTTTTTTTTTCTTCAGCCCTTGTATTTTTTGTCACTGGAAGCTATTTTACTGGTGGGATTTTGGAGGATTGAATTGAGCAGGTCTGATTTAGAATTGAATTATACAACTCAAAATTGTTTGGCCACAGCAGAAAAACTTACTTCACTGCAGATATCAGACAACCAATCTGTTTGTGCAAGTAGCAGGGAAGCCTTTTTCTTTGGGGGGGGGGGATTGAAGGTAATCCAGCTTCCCTGTAGAAAGTATTTTTTTTGGGGGGGGGGAATCATATGATCACAATGACAATTGAAATTGTTTAACAGCTTCCCAAAACAAAGTTTCAAGAGGTTCTTTGAGATTTTATATATATTATATAACACCTCTGCAATGATAGATTCTTTTAAGATACTTTAGGGAGTTTTGTCTTTTTCAAGTCCAATAAAAAATTTAAATTTTTTGTTTAATGCACTCCAGGGTTTCCTTAGAAAAGACTTGACTTAAGATTTGAAATTTTTGATCCTAATGATGAAACCACCCTCCTGCTTTGTATTGATTAATAAAATGAAAAAAACTGCTTATATGGCATGTCAAAAAAAACTGCTCATCAATGAGTGCTTCAAATTTGATTTAGCGGAGCAAGTTTTTCTTTCTGTCTAGGAAAACTTCAATACCAGCAACTAGTCAAAAAGAATTTTTTTACCAGGAGCACAAAACCATTGTTATGGGATAGATCTTGAGGTATAAATTCATGATGCATCTTGATTAGAAACATGATATTAAAAAGAAATGAATGTGAAACCATTGCTTGAACAAAGTAGGGCATCTCATAGAGGAATAATAGTCCTTTACTTGAAGAATACAATGAATAGCTGGATTCTTAAACACTTGAATTTTAAGATTGGGGATAGTTGGAATGATTCACAGATCACTGATAGTGATAGCCTCCTTAAAGATAAAGAAGATAGTTGTATTCCATCACTAACTACATACATTAGACCCAAACTAACGACTGGTGGACAGAAATTGAGATAAAGAGGGCGGTCAAGAGGAAACAGGGATTACAAGAACAAACACAAATGAGATCTTGGGTACAGACAAATACTGGTTTCTGTAGTTGAAGGCACACATCTTTACTCACAAAGATGACGAATGGGAACGGTGGTGAAGCAAATTATAGGGCCAATCGTGAGCCCCTTCTGGACGAAGGTTTGTCGATCGGACCCACCCATGTAAACGACTGTCGCGGATCGGTCCGCATTACTTCAAAGAATGGATCTCGCAACTGGGATGGTGCCATCACTTATTTTTAGAAGACATAAAAATGGACCCGGTCAGTAAGCGATGGGATGGCCGAAATTTCGGGTTCACTTACTATCAATCATTTCCCTCTCCCTTCGACGTCTTCGTAACCACATGGTCATAAAAAGAGCAAACGCGACAAGGGCCAGACCTACGACGCCCCCGACGACCCCACCGATTATTGGAGCTAAGTGGTTTGGAGCAGTGGGGATTTTATGGGCTTCAAGATTGGCGAGTTGGACAGGGTTCTGGGAGATTGGACTTGGGAAAGCTTCGCTAGATGAGCTGGTGATTGAGTTGCTAGTGATGTGGCTGATGGAGTTGAAGGGAGGGCAGTTGATACGGAATTCAACAAGATCGTGGTCCCCGTAGGCGAAGCGCCCACTTGAAAAACCAATGTCACCGCGGTCGGAAGCACTTCTCTTGTTATCGTTGCCAGAGGGGTCGAACTCGCAGTTTTTGTGGTACTCGTAGGTGAGGCCTCCGTACTTCCGTCACCACTGACAGATTCTGACGAGGTATCATGCTTATTGGTCATTGGACTGGCATTCTAGTCCCGCAAAAAAACACCATGTTCCATTCTATCAGCTTCCCTCTCACAGTACTCTCGTGTCTTTCTCGTGTCTTTGGCCAAAGACCGTGTAATAAATCTTAGAGAAGCATACTTTTGCGGGAGCAGGAACTGGAGCTCTGCGACGAATATATTCCGACGGACGGTCGAGGCTTCTTAGGTGCAACTGAAATGAAACACAACAGAACAGAAACATCAGTCACGAAGATCATGTTGCAGCAAGGGGTTTTTGTGACATTTTCAAGTCAAGAATTTCATTGAAAGCGCTTGAAGTGATAGTTACCCGGGATGATTCCGGACCAAAGCCTGAGTTTTTGTGATCGAGAAACTTCCTTAAGAGGCGCCTATCTTGCGGTGAGAGTTCATGTTTAGAAGACCTGGGATTCTGACCGGTAGGGCTGGAGTCGAGTTCCGGAACGGGATAGCTTTGACTTTTCAATTGTGGTATCATGATGGATGAGATAGGTTGTGCGCTATTAGCAAGCAAAGGTTGATTTTTTTTCAAGAGAGGTCCACGAAAGGCGATATTAAGGAATTGAGTTTGTTGGTGATTAATGCTTGATGTTTGACTCTCGCCAAGCTACACTTTAAGGTGATTGGGTTTTCGACCGGGACCAGTATAAAGCGTCATGCAACGCTTGATGCCGGGGAGAGATTTCGAATCAAACTGGGGAGCCTGCCGCGTCCTAGGCAGAATAAGGCACATTCCCCTGACTAGCGCCCACGGCCACCATCAAACGACTGGATTCGTCGATTGAAGTGTGCACAAATTTCCCGCTGGCAACCCGGTCACTGATGGCAGCTATTATGGATTCCTCGCGCCTTGGCGGCGGGGGGACAGGTATTCTGGGGAGGTCAGTAAGAAATCGTCGCGCCGGGAAAAAACAACATGAAATAGTGTGGATGTGATTGAGCTGACGCAACATGAGCCCGATGGTAAAATCGATGTTACTATTGAGAGTTGTTTTAGCACACGGAGGTCGTGTTGTCATTTGATGACCCCGGCTCCAGAAGGGATGTAATTATTCCCGATGGGCAGGTATCTCGACGCATTCTCAAATGAGGCCCAGGTTCTTCAAGGGAACCTGTTTGTCGAGAAATCTTTGCAGACAGTCCCCAACTTGATGCTGTGAAGCAGTTCACACCAAGATTGCGATACAAAAAATGACACAAGTACGCTTGTCAAGGATGCAATGCTTTTATCCCAGTCCACCCTCATCAAAGGTCTTGCAGTCTTATTGGTAACATGCATCGCGCAGACCTAACTACCATCAATCAACTTTACAAGAATTTGAAGAAAGATTTTTTGGTCCCAGACATCAATCCAAGGTTAAGGCCTATTTTTCGATTATGTAGTGATCAGTTGCTCAAGTGTCTGCAAACCTCAACCAATAAGAAATTGTATCATTTTTGGTTCAAAGTTCTCAAGAAGTCTACAATGATGAGACAGTCGCTATCAGCCATTATGAGGGTCTTGATTGTCCATCTCAACTCATGAATCTTGGGGGTAGATTTAATTGGGAACAAAACAAATGCTAGAGTAGGCGATCCTTCAAAATTGAATTTACAATGCAGGCCACCGAAATATATGTACAATAGACGAGAAGCAAGAGCTTGGATCATGGCACTTTGATTGTTCCAGGATCTAGTTTAGGGGAAACTGAGGGAACTGACGGTCTTTTGTAGCCTTTTGAGTCCAAAGGTGATGTTTCTCTTTCAGCCAGAAATCCTTTCTCTGAGGTATCTTGAAGGCTCTCCACCATACACCCATCCCAAATCTACCATAGACAGAGAGAGAAGCCTGATTCAGTGATCATCTGTCAGGAAAGATAGGTAAAGAAGGCTTCATAGTACAAACCTCAACTATGGAGGAGGAGGAATCAGTTTCCCAGGATTCAAGATGTTTTTCGGATCCAGAGTTTTCTTAAGGTTCCGCAAAACCCCAATCGTCCCTTTCCCTAATTCTCTCTCCAAATGAACCTGATCACATCTCGAAAAAAGAAATCAGGCCAGAGACAGAAAAAAAAATAGTTGTACTAAGGTATGGCAAGGAAGAAAAAAGGAATGGTCACTGACAATCTTTCCGATGCTTTTAATAGCATCAGGAGGAAGGAAGCCTTCAAAGTCAGCTTCTGAGATTGGGGATGAGGATGATGAGTTAAAGGGAGCTCACCCGACACCTATCAACGAAAGCGGACAGATGTGATAAGTGATCTATATGTATGGACGGACTTGTAAGAATGAAAACCACTGACCATGTTCTCCTGTACAAGTGCCATCGAGATCTTGGGCCAGTTCGACCATTTGATGAACGCATTCCCTGACTCTCGCGAGTTCCTCCTCGTCCTTGAAGAGGATTATGCAATGGAAATTCCCATCTCCGACGTGTCCCAACATCGTAGCCTTGAGATTCCGGGCTTCGATGTCCGTCTTTGTCTCTGAGATCAGGCGCGGCAGATGGGATATCGGCACACCTAACATGGAAGATTGAAGCCCACCAGATTTCAGTCGGGGGAGGGAAGATGAAAGATTTCACTGATGTTGAGGGGTTACCAGGGTGGGCTCACAGACGTCAGTCGTCCATGCCCGATGACCAGGCATGTAGTCGAGTGTTGACCAGAGACAAACCTTCCTGGCGTGCCAGATCTCCTCAGCTTCCGCATCCGTTTTTGCTATTCTCATCTTCGATCCACCGCTCCTTTTCAGAATCTTCACTGAGGGCAAGTCCAAACAAGTTTATTTTCTAGTCTTGCACAAAACATCATTGTTGAATGTGGTCATAGCTTCATAATAAGTGTGCAAACCTGTGAGTTCTTCATCCGATTTGATTTGTTCCAAAGTCCCGGTAAACTTGAGAAATAAACTACGGAAGATGCATGCAACAGGATTGTTAGCCGATGAAACTTCCACCCAAGCCGAGCAATGGAGCTCTGCAAAAAAACGAAAGAGTTTTTACCTAGGTTTTTCATCCCAATTTAGCCCACTCGAGCTATGATTGATAGCCTTCATCATCTGATCATCAAGCAATTCAATGCAAGCCAACGAGACGCCCTCCTTGATTAACTCCAAGACGGTTTTCGTCGCAGCATCAACGTTTTTGAAATGGGTTACGCCGACGGAAGTCGGCAGGACCGGCTGTAGCTTCAGCGTCACCTCAGTCACTAGCCCCAGAGTCCCCTCAGAGCCAATGAAGAGCTTCCCCAAGTCAGGACCGGCCGCACATTTCCTGTTCCAAAGACGGCTTGCTTGAGTTACAAATCTCCAGACGATAAGTTCACGTACGATCACTAGAAAAAGGATTACATCGCATTCTAGTTATGCGCGATAACATCGCATGGCGGCATGCGATGTTATCGCGCGTACCTGAAATGTGATGCAATCTTTTTTCTAGTGTATCATGGTTGGATCGGAAGGGAAAATGATTGGATTCACTTGGCTCTTTGCCGAGTCTTAATCACTTCTCCGTTCGCCAAAACTACAGTCATGTTGATCACATTTTCCCGCATCGTGCCATACCTATCCCCAACCATAAATTAAGATCCCCGACGCTTATTGTAAAGGAACACTTTGATTTTAGAGGACTGGGTGCTTACTTGACAGCATTGGTACCTGAACATCCCGTGCCAATCATACCACCGATTTGTGCACCTGGACTGTACATACATGTCCAATGAAAAGATCAAAAGCGATCAATTGCTCCAGGAAAAAATTGAGTATCATCATTCGACCCTGAGGGTGAAGAAATGAGTCTCACCCAGGATCTACGGGGAAAAAAAGCTTGTGAGAAGAAGCAGTGCGTTTGAGTTGATCGTTCAGGTTTTCATAACTGATCCCAGGCTGGACGACGACATCCAAATCTGACTCTGGAACATTTATCGAAATATATATGTATATATATGAAATCAAAATTTATGCATTCAAGGAGCGTAAATAGACGGACCATGAATGGAGATTATCTTGTCCATGTTTCTGGAGAAATCGAGTGTGAAAGAGTGACCGGGTTGAAGAAGCTGAGTATGATCCCCATCCGGCTGATTGTTTTGAACGGTCGATTGTGGATTAGATGAAGGGGCATTGAAGTGGCCTTCGAGAGATGTCCCACCGGAGAAAGGCACGATCGGTATCCCGTACTTGTATGCGATCTATCTCGAAGAAATTTCGTTTTTTTTTGTAAAAAAACAAAACAAAAAAAACAAAATTGGTTCGCTATATAGGCTGCAAGGGGTTGGCTGCATAAGTGAGTCGATGATTGCTCACCTTGGCTATTTTCGATACATCTTCTGTCGATCTTGGATAGAGGACTGCCCCAGGAAGACAATCAGGATGATGATCTGAGGACATACGAGACCGAGCAAGGTTATTAATATTCGGGCAAACGCACAGGGGGGCTAAGTTTTCAGATCGGATGAGAAGTTGCCGAAGGCTTACAAGTCCAAGGGGAAGTGCCATGATAGAGCAAGTCTTCTCGATGCCAACTGACACAGTCTACGGGCAAGATCTTCTGGATCTTCTCCAAGGCCGTCCTGAAGTCCTCCGGGGACGGTTGAGGGACGCTCGGGAATTTCTCGTCGGCCGTCTTACTAGCCAGTCCATCGGCTTGTTTCAATTGGACGTTGATCCCGACCACATACATCTGCATATGGAGAAGGTTTGTGGTAGTTCAGCCAGGTAGTCCATTTATTTGCTGGTCCGAGAGTGCTGAGAATGGGTTGATGGAGTGAGTACCTACGATTGATCCGATCAAGGTCGAAGTTAGGAAGACCATGCTAGTCGACCATTTCTGTTCAGCCATCCTCTGCCTGCCTTGAAGAACCGAGCCATTGTGCTGATTTGAGCCAAATGAGGATCCTTGATGATGATTGCTTTGATGCCGGAGACCTCTGGACACGGCTCCTGACACGGTAATGATGCTTGTGTTCGTCCTGGAAGTCCTCGATGATCGTTGGCCGATGGTTCCTGACTGCAAGGCTCGCCAGCCGCTGAGTAGAGTCCGCATCTCTCTTTCCGACGTGGTTGTGGTAAGATGTCAGCCTGTCCGCTGTCCCCCGCTCTTCTGCTGTTCATTCATGCGTCTCCAACAGACGGCTGAGTCAGAAGACTGCTGACTGCTGCTGGGTGTATGCGCTGTTTACACTGTCTGCCTCTGACCTCAAGAGTCGGCTGATGACGCAAAAGCAACAATCCCCTTTAAACATGACAGCCTTGATTCAGGGATCAAGTCAAGATGTTCATCTGATTATCTTTTGTTAACATTTTGCCAAAGAGATCAAAGATAAATGGGCAAGGCCGGAACAGAGGAACTGTGGAGTGGTATTCAACCCGCACTGATATTTCTGTTTGTTCTAGTCAAGGTTTTCCCAAATCATCTATCCAATTGATTCTTTTTTTCTTTTATTTTTTTCCATCAATAATTACAACAAACAAGGAAATTAAGGAAAAAAACGAAGGGCAGAAGAAGAAAAATACAGCTTACATGGATGTACCAAAGATAAACGACAGCAACAAGATTTTTCTTTTTTTTTCTCATCATATAAAAAAATTATAAGGAAGAGAGAGCGATAAAAAAAATGAGGAAGAACGAACACAAGAAGGAGCGAAAAAAACCGGAAAAGGCTACTTTTTATAAGGCACGTAATCTTTGCTAAGATCGATTCCAAGGTCTTTAAGATGAGTGTTGGTGATCTTGACCTTGCCACCCTTCCCGCCTTTCTTCTTAGGCTTCCTCGTGGTTTGTTGAGGTTTAAGGTTGGCAGAAGTAGATGAAGTCAAACCAGCCTCCTGTAACTCCGATGGCAAGGAATGGACTGGTGGGGTTTGTAACGAATGCCACATCTCTCGAAACTCTTTTTTTTTGTTGGGTGGGTTAGATTGAAAAAAAGGGAAAGGAGGGGGGGACTTGCGTTCAGTTTGGTAGAACTTGCACACACTCTTATTGAAATTTAGGTGTGAGAGGGTACGTGTGGTTATGTGGGACCTGCCATTATGCTTTTTGTTATCCCTTGGTGAGAGCGGGAGGAGCTTACCATCATCAAGGGCACCTCGAGTAGGACCTAGGTTTTCTCGACAGCCCAATTGATCATAGAAGACCGTCTTTGGGGTTCCTTCCTTAGCACCCACACTTTCAGTCCTGAGAACCAAGACTTTGCCTTCGTTTTCCAGCTTTTTTTTGGTTTGATGATCGAGCGGATCAAGTCAATCAAGCCAGAGTAAACAGCCAATCTCTGGAGAGAGAATGAGAGGAGAACACTCGGTTTACCTCTGTGATCGCTGTCATGACGTTGGGCCAGCTCTGTTTTAAGGTGTTCACTGGCATGCCTCCCATGCCTGAGAATCGTTCCAAAAGCTCAAGGACTTGTTTAGGATTGTTGATGACATAGTCCGGCTGGTTTGGAAGATCAATTGAGGAGTTGAAGGTTTGTCAACAAGATTGTGGTTTCCACATTAGATCAAGCTCCGGAAGAAATATCTGCATACCTTGTAACTCCACAGTCGAACTAGTCCCTTCTCAGTCACATTGACTCGTTCATGAGAATTGAAGGCGTCGAAAAGTTCTTTGTTGAACGGGACGTCGGTGTGTTCGGAGAGCAAGCCTCTAACCCCAGTTTGTGCCTCGAGATCAGACAAGTTCATCGGCCCATTTGTTCTCTGAAAATAAGCCAGGAACATATGTTTGATCAGTCTTGTTGATCATCTACATAGCTAAACGAGAGTCAATTCACCTTAAGTGTGTCAACCAGTTTGAATACTTGGGTAGCAAACTGTCTTCCAGGTCCAAGGTCCTCGACGACGGGAGGAGCAGCTAATTTCATCGAAAAAATGAACGAATGCAATGGGTTCAACTTGTGAGGGGTAGTGATAGTGAAGGAGAAGTGGGCTAACTGGGCTGAGCATTTTTCTTCTTCTTTTTCTTAGGGGGCGCGCTACTACTGGGAGCATTGGCGGATGGCTGAGGCTGCGATTTGGGAGGCTCGGGTGGAGCAGTAGCTAGAGAAAAAAAGGACACGTCAGTTATCAATATGATGTGTGATGTGTGAGGGCTAAGCGGAAAGCTTACTTGCAGGTTGACTGAGTGGAGAAGGTTTTGGAGGGGCGAATCTGGGTGCAGGAAGGCTTGGGAACTTGCTAGCCATGTTATGCGAGTGGTATTAATCCGTTCTGTTTCGTTGGGAAATGTGGTTCGTATTTGGTGTGGATGTTTGCCAGCGGAAGAGAGAAAGGGACCGATGAGTTTTGAGTGAGGGTGTTCCAGGCTGGGGCTGCCTTGCTGTGTCTTTTTGGCTGGTCGGTCTTGGTAAAAAGTTGGCCAGGCCGTGCGTCCCCTCGGTCGAACCCCCCGGAGGTCCAGCCTTCTTCAGCTTCAGTCGAGAACCAGCCTCGGTTCAGACTCAGTCAGCTGTGAAAGGCTGACTGTCACAGGTCATCATGACAGGTAGCCCTTTTGTCAAAACGCTCGCATCAATCCACTCGACCTATTCTGGAAATGGATGGATTCAAGAAGCTGCATCATCAGTTTCAAAACTGGAGAATGGAGAAAAAAAGGTTTCAATTTTTTGATATGATTAGAATAGCGTAGAATATGATTTTCACAAACTACAGGACTTCCCTTCAGATTGACAAGAATCTTAATTCCTAAAATAACCACCTGCAAATATTCTTTTTTGTCACTGTAACAATGAGTTTCATGTGTGTTTTATTTTTCAATGATTTTCCAAAATTAAAATTTTGTGTGAGACTTATCACAGGCCTGTAACTGGTGATGGAAGGTGCTCAATTTCGGTGAGCCTTGATTATATACCCGCCGCCATTGATGGATATACTTTGTAAATAGTTAAAAATTGATTCGTTAACTTCTGAAAGGATATTTAAAAACTCTGGAAATCTTCAAAAACAAATCATGAAATGAATTTAATGGATCAGTCCAACCTTTTTCTGAGGCTTTCATATTATTGAGAAAAACACTATCAGAGCAGTAAATCATATTTGAAACAAGACTAACAAAGATTCAAATCCAAATGAGAGCCAGATTTAATCTATCAAGATACTAGTGGTGCTCAAAATATCTCTGATTGAGCTAGTTCATGAGTTTGAATTTTAGTTTCACATTATCCCAGTCAAATCCAACTACATATCTCAGTTCATTCTGCTGTTTTCACTGTTGAAAATACATAATGTAAACCTGGCTTGATAGCTAAGGTTTATTCTGCAAGCAATTTTGGGATTGTTTTTTTTCTCTTGCAGTGCTATGGAGTTGGATCACTAACATGCATGGTTTTTTTTTCAGAATCCTAAAATACTAATGCTACTTACCAAAAATGTGTGACTGAAGTGTATTTTGCTCATCCAGGATAGAATTCAAGCTGAACTGAGCTTCTTGTGGTGAGAGTGCTGTGTGGGCAGGTCTGGGCGGCAGCCCAGTATCACTAGAGAGGCTTACACATTATCACTCAAAGTTGGCATGAGCCAGGCATGATTTTGAGTCCTGTTTTTGTATTCTTGCCTCTGGCTTCCGTTGTCATTATTGTGAAAATTCCATTGTAGCCTTTTTTGTGTTCTCAACCATCTTGTTGATATTTCTGTATCATTTTTTATCTGTATTTCTATGCCAATCATTTTTTAAAAAAGGGGAAAATTCTCATTTTGCAGACATAAAGTATGCTTATACTGAGATTGCGCTTGAGCCTCTCTGCCAGATATAGAACTCAAAGTTTAAACCCACAAACTTCATTGCATGTTTTCTAACAGAACCAAAGATGGTTTTGAAGACAAAAAAAAATCAGAAAAATCAGGATTAATATGTAGATATTTGACCCACCAGAACCAAAAAAAAAGTTTTGAGTTATAATGAATGAGGGGCAGGGAACACGGGGTTTCTAACACCAAACCCCTGTTTCTGGCTCAAACCAGAAAAATCTTCAAGTCCCTCTCTGTAGGAGGGGGCACTTCACTCCCAGGCTCCAGCCAGTTACACCAGCAAGCCTATCACCAGGTGGACTTGTGTTGTTTCTGGATAGATCTATTATTTTTGGTTCTCAAGAAAGGGAGGGTGAATTTATTTATGCAAACCAGGTCATGATAGTGTGACAATGAGACTCAGACAAGCCTCTTACCCACTTATAAAAAACCCCCATTCCTGCTGCATTGGGCATTGGGAAGGATCTATGAATATTAGGGTAACATCAGATTGCATCAATTTTCTTTTATTTTCTTCGCTGAATTTTGCTTTATTCCGATTCTTTTCAGTAGATGGTAAGGTGGAAAAAGAAAAAAAAAGGTTCACCTCTGGCACTGCCAGAAGAAGAATCAAATCCAACAAAAACACTAGAATAGACTGGCTTAACTTTGAGGGCCTATACAATTAGGGAGACTGAGAGTTGCGTTGGCAGGAGGTCACACACAAAACTTGTATGAATGACCGTAAAAAGATAGATGGGCTTAGTACAATAACCCAAGCTTGTGCTGTTGACTGCGTGTTACAGAATCAATTTCTTCAGTCTTCTATTAACAACGAGCATTGCAATTTGCAGAGGATGCCGAGTTCTTGCGGCAAACATCGGCACCTCTCTCGTCGTCCTGTGATAAACAAGCCTTGAGATCGGCAAGCAACCGATCAGAACTATCCCGGATATAGCGAAGCCCTTCGAAACAACAACAACAACAACAAAATTGTTCAACTAGCTGCGACAACTGTGAACAAGATCAATGTTTGATTGACAATCCAATAGTGGTCAGTTCTCTGCTCAGTGCTCATGAGGACCAGATAGACTACTGTTACCAGATAAATTAAGTTGACTTTTACTTTTGCCTGGAATCATCGGTCTCTGATACCATGGGCACGTTTGCCTACCAAGATCGGCTGACGATGGATAACCATTAATTGGTACCCAGTTGATTACAAGGTTTCCATCAGTGTCATCTTGCAAAAATTCATGCTACGGGTTTGATGAATTGGTTTAACATGGGAGTTAGAAAGGGACCAACAGATTTTAGCGTTTGTGTTGGCCGGCACACGGGAAATATCGGATTGAACGAGTCCCGCCTGTTGATCTTCCGGGTCTGCGGAGACTTTAACCTGCGATGTGGGTAACGTTGCTACAGACTCACTGTTGGACCGTTCAAGTGATTGGTAGCTTAATTAATTAGTTGTATCATCAGACAAGCCCTGCCCCGTTTGCCATCGGCTTGACCTTCGAAAACAGGCAACCCTGCAAGCTGGTGAGTCACCCGGCCCAAAGAGCAATGTCGCTTTTGGACACTCGTCGCCTCCTGGCCTTCTGTGGGGTGTTCATTGCGTCCAACGCAATGAAACACTTCTTGTGGGACTCTGGCCATCATCTGGCCAATCCGAGGATCCAGGAAGAAGCCTCCGATCCTATCACGCTCTCATTAGACTCAAAGAAGGCAGGAGGATCATTACAAGTTGAAGTTCAGGAAGATACGACGTATCACAACTTGAAATCGGCTCAAAGTAACCATCACGACGAACATGCCATGTGTAGCCTCAATAGAGAACTACATGATGCTGGCGCTGAGTTACGGCTTAATTCAGTCAATCTGTCCCCAGTTGTAGCAATCTCAAATCCTGCGTCCAATCTTGCAAGTGCTTTAGATCTAACATGTTATCACCGATCGGACCGTTCACCTGCTGTTAGTTCGTTCTCACCAGACGGAGTTTGTTGGGGGAGTAGAAGAAGGATCAGGCCGGAGGATGTTGAAGAAAGATGGCCAAACGTCAACGTTCAGCCTGATGACCATCCAGACTTCTTCCAAAGTCCACCAATCAAACTAACCAGAACTTATAATGAAGACTCTTCAGGTTTGAAAATCACTGTTCAGGCTCATGACAACCATTTGCACACCACGGTTGATTATTTGAGTAATTTTGGGAAGTGTTCAGAGCCAGAAGAAAGCTCTTGGATTACCCGTATAGCCAGGCCTGATCCACTTGCAGGCCCATCTCGCAGGGTAGCTAGATTTAGATACAGGGCGAAAGATGTTTCCAGAGATCCTGATGATTGCAATGAAGATAGGAAGCTTCTTGGGCATTCCTTGGCTGACACTCCAGTAGCCAAGAAGCAAGAAATCCATGACGATTTAGTGGAATTAGGTGGCACAAAAAATGGATCTCAAAAGCAACTTGAAGAACACAGAAAGCTTGGCAATACAGATGAAGAGGGGCCATCTACTCAACACTCAAGTTCATTGAACATGTCAAATGAAAGAAGTTTGGTTGGAATTAACCCGCTAATTCTAGAAAGTGGAATGATACAGAATCATAGCCCAGATATCTATAAAGAGATTGAGTGCAAGAAAAACAAAGGATTGAGTGATCATGGTGAGCTACCAATGGAAAGTCTTGTCTTTGATGAATCAGCCTTTGGTGTAGATAAGGAGTATCCAGAGGACCAGAATAAACTTGACGAGATTTTGAAGATTATAAGGTCTTCAGAATCAGGACCAGCTGAGGCTAAGAGGACACTGAAATTAAGATTTGAAGAAGCGCTTGATAAATTTGAAAATGTCAAGCATGCTTCCTTATATCTCATTCAGGATGATCAACATGAAGCCCCGGGGATTTCAACTGGTTGGAGATACCCATTCAATGGGTCCAGAAGGGCTTCAATGCAAATCAAATGCATCGAATTATGGAAATACAGATTGCTATGGTTGAAGTTTTGGCAAAAGATTACTCAGATCAATTTACATTCAGAGAATCTGAAGTATTCCACATGTAAAGTGATTGACAAAATCTTTCCCCTATTCTTGTTCTATGTGGATATGATTGATACCATCATCATTGACTCATCCAAACTTAAGTCCAAATCACCAGATCAGCTTAAGAGGGAGAAGACCGATTTATTCAAAGTAGCCATCAAGAGATTTGAAGAATTTTCAAAGATGAGGACTACTCTCAAGAATGATCACAATGGATTGATGAAACTCAAGTATGGAAAATCTAGGAAATCTCAGCCACATGTGCAACAATTATTGTGGGATTTTCTTGAGCATTGGATCAAAAATGCTGGGAGGGTTGAGCTGATTGAGTTATATTTGGGAGGGCTTAAACCTAACAATCAATCATTTAAAGGGTTCTTCAATACGATTTTCAAGCTTTCTATTATCCAATTCAACAAACGATTAAGGGATTCTTTGAGCCTTGAGTAACTAATCCAATCAAACTATCTCTCTTACCACTTCAAGATTGATCCATTCAGTAGCTCTTGTGTTGATCTAATCAGAATTTTTTTTGAATTGTATTTCAATGAAAGAGAAACCCTCTCTGGGGGAGAAGTTGAAAATGAAGATCATGTAGGAACTCTTGGGAGATCACAGTTCAAATGCCTCCAGTTATTGTTAAGCAAGCTTATACTCTAAAAATTCTACTTTTAGTGATAGGCATCTCTCAACAAGTGTATGAAATGCCTTCAGAACAGCTATTATGAATGTCAACAGAAGCTGCTTGGATTATCTATAGCTTGATTCCATAGGTGCACTCTTATAAAATTAATAATTCAATTGTGATTGGAAATGAATATGACGATCCCAGAATTCTAAGCCAGTGTGGTTAGGTTGTCTGATAATGATTTGGGTTGTCTTTCCTTGGTCCTGAAGGTTCAGGGCCAGTGTGAGGAATCCTGATCCGTGTGAGGAATCCTGATGGGTTTTAGTGGGAGCACAACACTTGCTTGCTTGCTTGATTTGTCTGGCAAGTCAGTCCCAGAAGTGATTTGTTGACAGACAAGATGTTGTGCAGCCTTGAGTAGAGAGGAGGGGACCGATTTCAGTCCACAAACTCTTTGAGCCCAACCCAGAAAGCACAAAAAAACATGCTGGGATCTTTTTTATGTCATCTTTCCCATGAAACTGTTGGGATTCCTGTGGGTTGATGATACTCTGGGGTGATTGTTTGCAAAGTGGTTTTGTTTTAGGAGGGAGGCTGGGGGATGAATGCTCAGTATCAAAATAAAAAAAACTACACATAGTTTAAATGTCCAACAGATTCTTTTTTCTTTTCATTTTTTTTCCCATTTGGGCTTGGTCATGAAGTCTTTTGTTATACCCAATGTCCATCAAGGAAGAACAACTCTCAGCCAATGATTAGTATAGAAGATGTAGTAGAAGTGATTGTTTTTTTTTGCATTGAAAGACTATACAAAGTGTGAGTTTGGAGTGAGTTATATGAGGAATCTAGTGATCTGAAGTGTGAGTGGAAGTGACTATCAAGGGGTTTGAAGGGGTTGTTGGTTTTGGTTGGTTGGTTGGTTTGGTTTGGTTGGTTGTTGGGTATCAGCTGGCCACACCCGACCCAGCCAACACTCGCCGTCTCCCTGTCCTCTCTCCCTCCTTCCCTCCTCCTTCCCCCTCTTCTCAACAAAAACAACAACCAACAACCAACCAACAACCAACAAAACCAAACCAACAAGATGACCACTAACCCACCTCCAACACCTTCAACCTCCAGCTTCAACTACCAAAACCCATTCAGCTCATCAACCCGCTCATCAACCACCACCACCCACACCATGACAACCACTACCACCTCAGCCTCATCACACACCTCACTCAACCAACACCAGTCTGCAAACCTCTCAATCGACATGCCCATCGCCACCTCATCCGTCGTCAACAAGACCGCCAACAGATCCGCTTCACTCTACCAGAACTGTCTAGAAACAAGAGCACTACTCAGAAGAGTACCCGGATTCGAAGCTGGCCCCTGGATCACCGAAACCAAGAACCCAAACAGCTTACTCTCTGGTAAGCAAACCATAAATCAATCAATCAATCAATCAAACAATCACTAACATCCATTCATCCATAGATTCACCAACCGACCCAAACACCCCTCATTCAAAACACTCCTCAAATCCACTCGATCCAGTCACTCAGACACTCGAAATCTTCAGACTAGGATCCCCACTCTGCTTCCTCTACAATGCCATCCTCAACCCCCCACTCTCCCCACCCGAGCTGGCTAATCTACCTCCACTACCCCCCGGAAAGACCTGGCAGAACCTCAAACCACTCAAAGTACTCTGGTGTCCCCGTGAGGACCTCAAAGGATGCCAGAAATCCGCCGCACACTTCATCATGGCCCTCAAGACCGAACTAGGCTGGGGAACTGAAATCGATGAGATCCAAGAGAACGGCTTGATGGTCAACATGCTCTATGACGTCAACACTAATGCAACCGTCAAAGTAGGTTTCTGATCGACATCTCAAAAAAAAAAACACTTGGCTTATCTCCTCTTACAATACATTCAGGTCATCTCCAACGTACTCAGACTACTACATCTACTCAAAGCATTAGGCGTACTCCTACCGCCATCAGAGGATGAACTAGTACCTCACAGTAACGAACTCAATGTGGCCATGGACGATCGAGCTCGAGTAGTCAAAGAAATCCTCGAGAGCGAACGGAAATACGTTCAAGATCTAGAGGTCCTCCAGGTATCTTATCAACCCCCCTCTCTAAGCTCATATTTCTCTCGTAAACTCAGAAAGTCTGTCTGTACCCTAGAACTATCAACGAGCACTCCTCCAACGAGAGATCCTACCCTCAGATCAGATTCGTGCACTCTTCATCAACCTCGACTCCCTCGTTGACTTCCAGAGACGCTTCCTAATCGGCGTCGAAGCCAACGCTCGTTTGCCACCCGACGAACAACGCTTCGGTCATCTCTTTCACTCCTTCGAAGATTCCTTCTCATGCTATGAACCCTTTTGCGCTAATTTTGCCTCGGCCAGTCAACTGGCCCAGGATGAGAATGCTGCCCTGACCGTTTGTATCCAATCTCTGATCTTTCGTACAAATCATATGATCGCTAACTCCAAGTCATCTTTCGTATCTCCATCACAGAAATTGGCCGATATACTCGATCCAAATTATGAACTGCCCACCTTCCTGATCAAACCAGTTCAAAGGATATGCAAATATCCTCTACTCCTTCAGGTTCATTACCATTTGATCTTTTAAAAGCATCCTCGACTTCAATCACTGATCAAAAAAAACCCTTTCCTTACTCTCTTTTTTTTCTAGCAATTGGTCAAACACACAAGTCCTAACGGTGCCTACTACGATGAACTCAAAGAAGGTCTCGCTTCGATCACTCGTGTTACCGATGCCGTCAACGAGACCACCCGACAGCGTGAGAACGAACTGGCAGTAAATGATCTCAAGGAGCGAGTGGAAGATTGGAAGGGACACGAACTGGTGACCTTTGGTCAACTGGTACTCGAAGATACCTTCACGGTTGTCAAGAACGAGAGCGAACGGGAGTACCACGTCTATCTCTTCGAGCGGATAATCCTCTGTTGTAAGGAGGTCGGCGTTAAGCTCGATAAGAAAGCCAGCAAACAGTCGATGAGCCTCAAGAAGAACAGCCAGATCAACAACTCTAATGTCAACGGTGGCAAGCGGAAAAATACTCAACAACTCAAAGGTCGGATATTTATCGCTAATGTTATGAGTGCCACCCCTCGTCCGGTCCCACCTGGTTAGTAAATCTCCCAATGATTTACCGGGATCAAGGTTTACTGATCTTTCACATTCCCCTAGGTTCTCCTCATCACCACCAGTATCTTCTGCAAGTGACATGGCGGGGCGATATATCAGAAGAATACTTTTCGATCAAATGTCGAACAGAGGAACAGCTCAAGAAGTGGCAGGCTGCGATCACCAAGGCGGTTGATGATGCAGTCGAACGGCGGCGGCGACAAGTCCATCATCTATCCTCAGGATCCCGTTCAAAGATGAACAGCCCACTGTCCCAATTCCCGAATACACCCCAATCGGAGATGGGTCAGCCACCCAATTCAGCCAGCTATCAGCATCATCCCGTCTCCCATCCCCCTCGGATCCCGGAGCATCCCTATGCCCATTCGGGCCATGGAAACGGGGGCGGGTCGATCAGTAGCCGGACGTTTGAGGACGAGGAGGAGAGCTATCAGACAGATGCGGAGAGTTCGGTGAATGGACGCAACACACCTTCGGGTAGCCGGCGGACGACGGGTCATCGGTCGATGCCGGCAGAACGCTCGGAGGCCTCGTTTGGCCCTGGCCGTGCACGAGCACAGACAGACGATGCAGCATCGGCTAATCTCGCTCAGTGGCGTAACCAGATGCCCAACAGTGCAATCCCCCCGGTGCCCCGTTCGGGTCAGCTGACCCCAGCTAGCAGTGACGCTTACCTGCCCAACTCGCTTCGCTCGTCCACATCGAGTAAGCCCCTACGTCATCAGCCTAGTCACGAATGGGGTGCGGGGACGATCAACGGGTCGAACTTCTACCGGGTCGATGACCGTTCCCATCTTCCGACCTCAGGTCCTTCTGGCCATCCTCTCCATGCCCGCCACAACGAGCCACAACTGTTACCATCAAATAGCACCGGGGTGCCTATGTTTAGGAGTCGCTCGGCTAGCTCGCCTAATATTCATCAGTCCCCAGACTTCTCTCAGCAGTGGAATTCGGGCCTCCTCAATCCCGTCCCTTCAGTCCCTTCCCTTCCCTCTGGTTCTCACTCTTCTTCGTCGACCTCTAGACCGGCCTTGCCTCTCCATAATCAGGTCCAAATCGGGGGCCATATCAAGCAACGCTCTAGCGACTCAAGTGCGGCTGCGTTGACAGATCGGTCTTCAACGGAGAGCCAACGGCTATCAGGAGGAGTAGGAGGTATGTTTTTTTTTTTTTTGACTCTTTTCACTTCACTTCACAGACAGGCTGAGCTGTTTGTGTCTCTACAGGTGGGAATGGGGTAGGAGGCAGGAGCAATCTGCCGCTGTCCAACCCGATGGCCCAGACTGCACATGGGGGGCCGCCGGCGGGCGGAGGAGGGCTGAATCCGCGATACTCGTCAGGCCAGGCCGGCCTGACGGGCCATTCGGCGGCCAGCTCGTTGATCACTTCTCGGAGCAGTGGCAGTTTAGTGGTTGTCCAAGGGGGTTCTGAAGGGGTCGGCGGCAGTCGATATGGGGCGGCCGATCAGCTGGTCGGAGGAAGCCATCCATCGAAGCCTCTTGGAGGAGGAGGAGGGTCTTCGTCGACTTCATCGACCATGAAGTCCTCCCTCACCGCCACCCACAACCCCAATAATAATAACAACAACAACAACGGGCCGACGTCGATCAGGTTTAAGTTGAGAGCGGGCGAGGACACATATGTGATCGTGACCCTCTCCACAATCACCTACCACGAACTGATCGAGAAGATCTACAAGAAGCTCCGCAACTGTGGGGTCTATAAGGACTCCTCGGCCCGCTTGAAGATCCGCTACGAGGACGAGGAGGGCGACCTCATCCTCATCTGTAATGATGAGGACGTCTCAATGGCCATCGAGTGGATGCGCTCCGTCGGCATCTCTCATCTCTTGCTCTTCGTCGATTGAGCTCGTCCCTCCTTCTGCTCCTGCTTTTTCTTTAGTTTGCTCTTCTTAGTCTTTCTCTTTTTTTTTATATCTTCGTCATCATCTGTTCTGTTCTGTTCTCTATCTTTTCTCTCTCTCTCTCTTCTATATTTCTTTCTCATTCAACCTTTCTGTCTATCTTTATCTTTCTTTCTCCTTTTCTCTCTCTCTCTCTCCTTCTCTCTCTCCCTCTCTCTCTCTCTCTGTCTCTCCTTCTCCCCTTCAGTTTCTTCAAAAGAAATATCTCTTGTTTTCGATGTGTCATGTATTCTATTATTAATTCAACCTTTATTATTATTTATTTATTCATTATCATCATCTCCTCCATCATCATCATCATTTTTTTTTCATTCTCGTTGACCAACTTCCATAACAAACCCACTCACACACACATGGGGGGGGGGGGTTCTTTCATACATACCATACACATGCATATACATGTACATTTTATATGTATATCTTCATACATATATGTGTGTGTGTTGGTATGTATGTCTGTGTGTTTATTGTGTTTGGTACACACACACACACACATAACAAAACAGCACTTCTTTCTCTTTCTCTCTCTTTCTCTCTTTCTTCTCCCTGTTCCTCTTCTTTCTTTCATACAAATTCTTTCCCGTTTTTCTTCTTCTATCATCCAAACCAAAAACAAGAAAGAAGCCAAAAAAAAAATAATCTGTTTTTTTTTCTGATAATATAATTACTTCTTTTTTTTGTTTATGATGGTTGTTTACTAATATATATACATATACAGTTAGACTTAATGTGAATGATGAGTGCTTGAGTTGTTTGATCTTTCCCCTTGCTCTCTGTTTCTCTTCCAGCTGTCTGTCGACTTCTTCGTTCCATTTCTCTGCGATTCTGAGCTGCTCGAGACCTCCTCCAGAAAAGGCGCAAGCCAGCTGCGATAGCTTGCCACTTCTCCTCTGACTTGTCTATTTTTACTACCACATAATATACACACACATAAACAATTTTTTTTTCTTTGGTTGATGTGTATGAGAAGAAGAAAAAAGAAGGTGGGTATGTTTACATGCGTGTACGCTTGCTTCTGTTATTGATGTTGTTGTTGTATATGTGTGTGTGTCTGTACTTGATGTGTCTGCTTGATGTGGCGGTTTGGCATGTATGATTGTATGTATGTATCATTTGACCTTCTACACCAGAAATCAAACATCCACTTAAACCTTCCACTTTCCAGACTTTTAAAATACACTCTGGAGCAGCACAGACGGACAGGCTTGATTCCCGAAGACCTTTGTACGTAGGATGTCTGTGAAGTCCTTGACTTTTCTTGTTTGGGGTATGCATGCAGAGTGGGCGTTGATAAACGCATGCCAGCCCCCCTGGCGCACGCCAAACCGCACGCCAGGTGGGGATTGGCGTGCACGCCTGCACGCCAAAGAAAATTGGCGTGCGGGCCTGCACACCAATCTACAGAGTGTAGACCGGCGTGCAGGCCTGCACGCCAAGGATTCGCCGCCGTCCCATAGGACCCAGGCATGGGTCCTATGGGACGGCCTCTTTTTTTGTTTTTTTTTGTTTTTTTTCATTTCATTTTTTTTTTATTTTCAAATACCCTCGGCCTAAAGAGGCCGAGGTCACACCGGCTCGTCGGGAGGGGTTCCTCCCGGCGAGCTGGTTTCTATACCAGCTCGTCGGAAGGAAACCCTTCCGACGAGCATGTACACCGGCTCTTCGGAAGGGAATACTTCCGACGAGCTGGTTTCTATACCAGCTCGTCGGAAGGAAACCCTTCCGGCGAGCTGGTACATATACCAGCTCATCGGAAGGATTCCCTAATTCCTTCCGACGAGCTGGTACACAATCCAGCTCGTCGGAAGGGAATCCTCCCGGCGAGCTGGCATATACCAGCTCGTCGGAAGGGAATCCTCCCGGCAAGCTGGTACATATACCAGCTTGTCGGAAGGGTTTCCTTCCGACGAGCCGGTGTACATGCTCGTCGGAAGGGTTTCCCTCCGACGAGCTGGTATAGAAACCAGCTCGCCGGGAGGAACCCCTCCTGACAAGCCGGTGTGACCTCGGCCTCTTTAGGCCGAGGGTATTTGAAAAAAAAAAAAAAGAGGACGGCGGCGAATCCTTGGCGTGCAGGCCTGCACGCTGGTCTACACTCTGTAGATTGGCGTGCGGGCCCGCACGCCAATTTTCTTTGGCGTGCAGGCGTGCACGCCAATCCCCACCTGGCGTGCGGTTTGGCGTGCGCCAGGGGGGGTGGCGTGCGTTTATCAAGCCCCATGAAGAGTCCATGCAGAGATTTATTGCTGATGAGCCAAAAGCAAAAAAAGGGAGGCCCTGCTTTGCGAGTCAGATGTTCCTCCACAAGTCTACTTGATGGGGACCTGTGAGTAGGGCGGAGAGAATGGGCCGGGATGGGGTGGGTTTTCTCTGGCCGGAGTAGCCCTTGGGTGTAGTATGGGTCAATTTAGGACCAGTAGTACTACAACCATGGGTGATGTAAGAAGAAATGCCCTGACCCACAACCGTTCAGATCATTTTTGTGATTCCATTGGGGGGGGGGGGGTCAGGTGGGTCTACTCTCATGTGTGATCACGGGCATCCACAAGAGTGTCAGTCTTTCATGCAGACTCTCTTGGAGCTTACAATGTGAACTGAAAGCTGAATTGAGTACTGGCCCCAGCTGAGTTGCCCACTCAGGGGTTGGTAGCCCGCTTTTTCAGAGCTGGTGTCTTCTGATGTGATGGTTTGGTTATGGTAAGCCAATCATAATGCTCTAGACGTTCAACAATAGGGCAAGTGTTAGGGAATGGATGGGAATATTCATGAAATCTTTGAGCTCTTCTTGCTTTTTTCAGCTTTGGATTGACTAGCCTATAATCTCTGAAAGGAACTTCAAGCCAGAGAAATATAAACTGGTACATAGCTATTGTCAAATGTGCAGTGTTCATATACTCCAGGAAAAAATAATGATCACTAGAGTGCAAGGGTCATCAGCCTACTGTCTCAGTCCCCTGTAGCACACAAAGGGGCCATTGCGTTTGGGCGGCAACAGAGTTGGAGCTACAGAGGAGCAGTGATCAATGCTACATGATGTCACCTGATATATAGTGAGCATTTGATTTTACTGTGCATCATAAAGGTGTTGGAGTGAGAACTCAGGAGACCGATGATTTTCATTACTAAGTAGTGGAAATCACCTATGAAGACTATCTACACAATCTGTGACATGTGTCCCAGTCGAGCACTGTGACCATGTCAACTCAGGAGACCGATGATTTTCATTACTAAGTAGTGGAAATCACCTATGAAGACTATCTACACAATCTGTGACATGTGTCCCAGTCGAGCACTGTGACCATGTCACAACAAAAGGTTCTTCATGGGCAAATTGAAACTGATGTGGTTGATAACAGAAGGGGAAACAAAAATTGATTTGCATGGGAGTTGAACTTGTTGTGCAAGCATGGCTGAGACTAAGAAGATAAAGGATTAACCAAGGGAAAGTATTCAACTGAGAAGAGAATTGATTGTCAAGAAAGGGAATCTGGGATCAATTTTCTTTCATGAATAGATGATTGGTGTCCAATGACAATATCTTTCTCTATTTGGTTTTGAAGTTTGGAAATTTGTTTTATTCTCACTTGTGCTAAGTTTATTAGGAGAAATTTTGCTTTGAACAATTCACAAGATTAGCAGTGTGTGAATTGTTTTTTAAATTGCTCAATATAGTAATGATTAACAGTTTATGCAGGTTAACCAAACCATGATCAACCCCCTTTCCCAAAAAGGCTTTTATAGCCTTCTGAACACATCTTCAGGAAGTGTCACTGGATTGTATGAATTCAAGCAATCCTTCCAAACAAGAGCCATACAATGACTGAAAATTGATCAACCTATTTGCCTTTATATATTCTATTTTGTATGCCTGAACCGTTATTTTCTCTCCTTGTTATGTTCTTCCCTAGAGATCATTTGTTTGGACCTGGGTACCTGTTCATTTTTTCAAGAAAATAGATACCATGTACCACACCAGGCACCTCCTGGCGGGTACCACGGTACTTGTGGCAGGTATTGCGGGTACCTCCCCTCTCTTTTTCACTTAGTTCCACTAGCTATCTCAAAATCACTTCATATCCTGTACTAGATATGTGGTAAAATGAAACTGGATGTGCTTTTTTTTTTTACTTCTTCACACTATTTTAACAAAAAAAAAGGAAAAAATATTGCACATCCAGTTTTCTACTGCATATCCAGTACTGGATATGAAGTACTGTTGAAAGTGTATAGTCAATTGTTTCAATTTTTTCATATTTATCATAAAATATGCAGCCCTCCCACCCACCATATGTTAGGGAAGTGGGGTGGTACCTCCTGTTTTTTTTCCCCAAAAACAGACACCTGGCTTTGCACTAGACATGGCCCCAAGTACTCGTTTGCAAGTACTCGCTACTTGTTTGCAAGTACTTGTTGGGAGTGCACAAGTACTCGCCCGCGAGTGGCGGGTGCGAGGGCGGGAAATACTCATGGAGGGCTGCTTCAGATGGCACTTGATGTGCTTAGTTGTCCAGGTGCGTTTTTTTATGTTAATTATTACTATTATCTTGCTTGATTTTTTACTAACTTTCCTGCACATTCTGAAGCAACCACGGTCGATGTGGAACAATCCTTTAGCTTTGGTAGGGAATATGCTTCTCTCAGAAGGCACAAGATCAGTGCATGCTCTGTCACTAGGGGGATGAGTGTGGCATTTTACTCAAAGAATGGTAAGATCAAAAGGGGGCTTTTGAGAGAATGGAAGGAAAATAAGAATAATGAGAAGAAATCAGCAAGGGAAAAATCTGGGAGAAAATGAAGGTCTTATTATTACTATTTACAATCACTTAGGTCACTTAGTTTAGAAATACAAATCTCTGAAATGAAAATACAAGAAATTTATCTCCTGTATCTCTCCCAATAAGCTTGCATACTTGCAAGTACTTGCCACAAGTATGCAAGTACTTGCTTTGTCATGCCCCCGCAAGTACAAGTACAAGTATGGGTGTCTGAAATCTGATATTTTTCATGCAAGTACTTGTACTTGTCGCAAGTATGCAAGTATGAGGGGCTATCTCTACTTTGCACCTGGCACCTCCTTGCAGGTGCGCAGCGAGTGCCGGTGTGGTAGTCAAAAATGTGAAAATTCAAAGTTTTTTCTTTTCTTTTCTTATATATATATATTTTCTTCATATTATCACCTAATTTCTCTCAGAAATCACACCATACGGCTCAAGAACTGGACTCTACGGACAAATTCACCCTTGGTCACCTTGGAGGCGTCACTGGAACACACCTGGATCAACACTTATCCCACAATGGACAACATATCACACATACTTCACCCATCAATTACATGTCACCAATCACCATTACAACCCTCAACCTACACAGACACCCTCAGTACAGTACAAC